GCAGATAGAAAGATAGATAGATTTATTAAACTCTATATTGCAGATGTACACTGAATTGCATAGTTATTTACAATATTGCTGATTTAGATTAAATAAATATCTAAAAAAAACCTACTATGTCAAATGATCTATTTTAATGTTTCTATTTACGATCTTCCTTATTCTAGCTGGCTCCACATTAACTTCGAAGGCTTTAAGAGTTGCTTATGGTGTCCTTGAGAAGGCCCAGGCACAAGCTGGATCAGACCATGCTAACGATCCACAAATTATGATCCTACTGACTGATGGGAAGTCAAACGGAGGTGAAGTTGTGCTAAGGCCCATTGTTGAAAGTATTAAGAAAAATATTACAGGTATGTTATACGAAGTAAAACAAGCTGTCCTATTCTTGGTTTGCATGTTACGTCACAGCGGCCATCTTGGAGGAACTTTTACAAAGGATTTCTCATTAGTATCTATTGTTCATTCCTACAACATGGCCGCCGGTCTTTTATCTTTTGAATCTCCTGGGAATGGGTGAAAATTATAAATTTAGGGGGATTAGGGCGCCTAGTCACCCCACTTTTAAGGGTAAAAATTCGATATAAATATATAGGAGAAAAAAAACATTTTTGAATTCATGAGTAAAAAAGAATACCTAATGATCATTCTATTTTCTCTTGAAAACGTCGATAAAAAGATTCATAACTTGCTTGCGTTAGTTTTTACTCTTCAAATCATGTATAAAAGTGGGTTGTATGCATTTTGAAGYTTTTTGTTCTGTTATGTAAGGTATAACCATAGTGGCCGTAGGGGTTGGAAGCTACGTACAGTCCGAGCTAGAATTAATCGCTACAGATCCTATAAAACACGTGCTAACAACAACCGACTTTGCTAAATTAGTAACACTAGTCAAGGAGCTTCGCAAACAGACATGTGAGAGTAAGTCTATAAAAATATTATTACATTGTAATTTGGAGAAATTCTGCCTGCAGGATATCCATATTTATCATATAATTATCTATGAAATACCTATATTTCTTGCATTTCGTAAAATTGATATTTTCACTAGTGAGAATTCGAGGTTTCTCTATATAATGCATGTAAAAAAGGTATTTTACGACATAATTTCATTTCATATAAAATTATATGATAAATAGAATATTACATGTTCGCTTGGGGATACGAATTTTATCTTTTCAACACTCGAAGATAAAATCCGTATCTCCGCGCGTCCATGTAATATCCTCTATATATCATTTATCATATATATTCATTCTATATGTCAAATATTGAAATAGCTGAAAATAGTGAAGTACTACACTTGTACTATTGAAATAGCTCTATGAACTTTTGCTATTTGATTGGCTGAGAGGAGTGCGGTGTTTTAATATCGTCTAGTGTGATATTTACAAGTTACTGTGGCAACCATAACTTTGTAGAGTCATCACACTTGTACCATGAAACATAATAATAAAACAGTAACTATTAGTTTATATTTACTGTCTTATTGTATGAAATAGTAGATCTAACTGAACCAAAACAATTCATTAAAAACAAAAAGAAATACACAAGAGACTTGGAAGTTAACAACTTTATAAAAAGCTACCTAATGAGGAAGGAGGAATTTTCTAAAAAAATGACCAATCCCCAAGGAAAGAAGTAAAGAGCTGGTTAAGCTCTTTGTTAAACCCAGAGGAGAGAACCTATTCCCAGACAAAAAATAATTTTAACTGATTACGTACCCCCGCGAGGCAAAGAGATTTTGGGTCTTTTTCTAAGACATTCTAAGGACATGCGAGGAAATCTGCAAATCACAATGAGGATAGAGAGCTTTGGAAAGACATTGACCTTTGAATTAACCTCCTCTAAAATAAATCATTCATAAAAATAAAATTCATAATTATTCCCTGATGCACAGAGACGTACAAGTATTCATTTTTGCATTCCTCGATTTTCTAGCGGCGANTAGACCAGTATGACGGGGACCAATGACCAGTAAGTTCTTTTTGCCGCATCTATAAGGTTTGCAACAGATAATTCTTTCGGAATTTGAATTCGAAAAGTATGCGGCACTTTGCTTACATAACAAAATTACCTATTTTAAAACCTTTTTAAACAAATTCACGCACTGATTGCAGAATTGGGTTTAAGGGTGTGTTATATTTGAAGAGGCATAGTTTTTTCTCTCAATTTAACATTTTCTTGACTTTTTCATCATACTTCGTCTTATTTATATCAGATAACACCATCATACGGAACACTTACAGTATACGCTTCGAGAACAAACGCATCGCCTGGTCCAGACAACTACGATTTTAAATACAATGGTAAKTGTTTATTGTAATATGCTCTTCTCAAATGACAAGGAATTTTTCAGTTACATCAAAAAAAGTTCAAGGAGATAAGGATTCATTTTTCATTTTTTTTAAGTCCTTAAAAGGACTTGCATCATTATGTAGTGCTACGTTCTAACTTTTTTCAATGTTCGCATGCACTAAGGAACAAATATGTTTACATCAAAAAAACTCCTTGCATCGCGAGCAAGAACTTTGTCATTCCTCCTTGACGGATTTTGGATTTTTCTGTGACTTTTCAACAAAAATATAAAATTCAGACAAATTTAATTAAAATTGTGCATTAAAATCTATGAAGCTGATTGATTGGTTGAAATTTTGCCACACTTCGCAGCAAAACGTAACCTCTCATCCTAACTTCAAAACTTCGAAGTCGCAATGCAACGGTTTTCTGAAAATAAACAGTTAACTTTATACAGCATGGTTACGGATAAAAAGTCTTAATGATATTTATTTTTATTTTGTTTATGATATATTGTAGTGGACAATACTGTATTGAGGCAGAGAAGAAGTACTGATACTGGAAAAGGTGATTATCCACATGGTACTGACATTTCTGGACTCTATCCAATGCTGATGTGAAGTCACAACGTCTCTTTTACCCACTTAAATTTTCATAGACTTTTGAGAAACATTATCAATGGTTAACTATTTTTAATCCATGCACATAACTTGCATTCATGGCCAGCAGTTTGTAATCGAGCAAGCAATCTGTTGTTACGCCAAACTCCACACAGCATAATTCATTTATTATAGCTTATTATGTCCAGAGCCGTTTCTTAATACCAGCAGACATGTTCCAAATGCAATTCTTCAAGACATATCCCAAAGCTTTTAGACTTGCAGACACATGGGAGACCTATAATAACAAATCTTTATAGTTACTTAGCAGTTGGAAAGGGGAACAAACAATGWCTTCGACGTAGCTTCGAAATGCATGCCAATTGGAAGGGGTAACTGCATTTAATGCCAAACCCGATGCACGACATAGGCTGGCATGAAGAAGATCTTTAAGATGACCTTGCATAAGACAATCAGAAATCCCTAAATATTAAGGAATGACCTTCCCTCTCCCTTGATTATTTTTTGCTGGTTTGATAATATTAGTAAAAGAATGAAATTGTCTCTTTTTTGCTTTTTACAATCCTACATAAAAAATACAATAACATGAAATTAATTGAACTATTTTGCATCCTATCTTAGGCAAACGTATAGAATTCTTCAACGTATGCAAAGGTATGCTCCTTGTACCAAAACAGTTATTGCTCATAATAATATATGGCAATTACGGGARTTACGGAGGAGACTATTTTCTGGTTTTCAGCTCAGTATCTTTTGCACATGATTGAGATGGAAATGATCTGTTTAAGGTTATAACAAGACAACCTGTCCACCACTGTATATCGCAGTATACGGCGAAAACTCAACAAACTCTTGTTCCGGTAAGAATTTGAACACCACCTCAGGGCTGGTGCAGAATTTTTYTAAAGAGGGGCACTGATGATCTGATATTTGAAGACCTAATGAAGGGCAAAGAAATACTTTGAAACTTTGACAACTTAAAAAACGTCCTCAACTTGCTCCATTTAAGTCTCTTTTGGAGTGACATTGGTGTTATTTTCCATATCGCTGCTATTAAAGATAAATAAATA